GTAGCAGATAGGCATGGTGCAGGAACCAAGGATGACGGTGGAAGACTGAAAACACAGATCTGACTCATCAGGACTCAGGACAACTACAACTGCAGTTACTGCATACATACATCATCACTTGTACGCAGGGCTGGCCATGGTGATGCATACATGGAAGAGAATCGCCATGCCCCACATACAATCACAGATGAAGGAGATGGAGAAAGAAGACCAAGAGGGGAGAAAGAAGGGAGAAGTTGCAACTTGATAGCCCTTCCCCTGGCCAGACACAATGTCTGAGTCTGGGCGATAGCCCTAATAATCACTGAGTCTCAGCTCTCTCTCTCTCTCTCTCTCTCCATTGAGAGTGAAGGGGAGGGAGAGAGAGAGGGAGGGAGAGAGAGAGAGATGGGAGGAGAGAGAGAGAGAGGGGGAGGTGAAGGGGGAAGTCAGAAGGAAGAAACATTTCCCGAAGCACGACCAAATGGCCGAATGATATTAGCCAAAAGGCACCGCCAGCGCATCGTAGGATATGCGCAATCAAAGCATGGGGCAGCGACCCTACGCTGCATTTCGTCCGGCCGCTATACCGGAACTCGTCAGGGGTCTTGTTCGAATCGCTAGGGGACAAACACTGGAACAGACAAAAATGAACTCGAAACAGACAACACACTGAGAACAAACAAAATGAACTCAGAAAAAACTGCAGATGACCGAGAAAGAAAAGGAAAACACCCCCAAACTCACACTCCACAACCCCTACCACTCCCTGGCCGCTGAATGAACCCATGTCGGGCCCTGAAGAGGACTGTGTTGGGGGATTGCATACTACTCTCTCTCACTCTCGCACACACACACCACGTTGATCGTTATGACATTCAAGCGCCTTTATTTTTCTAAGTGGTACTGTGGTACTGATTATGCAGTTTTCGACTGTTGTTCTCTGCTGCGGGTGCAGTTGTGAATATCCAAGACCCAAGGCAATTGACTTCTGGTGGACAAGAATGACGAATCGCTGTCGATGTGAAGGGGAATGGTTTCCTTAGCATAGATAGGAGTAGGAGAGCAAAGGAGAGCTTATCTGTCTTGCTCGCCCTCCATTCTTGAGTCTCTTCAACCCCTTCTTCTTCCCAAGTCTTTCTCTCGCTCTCTCTCTCTCGCTCGCTCTTTGTGTGTGTGGTTTCTCTCGGGGCCGTCACCCTTCGAAAGGGTTGGGGGGGGGGGGGAAAGAACCATGCTTATCACATAGCACCTGTGCATCGCATCAGCTTGAAAATATGATAGAATAATCGTGGCTGGAAGATAGCTGTTTGATGCTATACTGGAAGCGCGGTCGGCCATTCCCCTTTGTTGGCTCCCTCTCCCTCTCCCTCTCCCTCTCCCCTGCGCTCTAATCCTTCCCCCCTCCCCTTCAGGCCTTCATCATTTCTTGTAATCCCTTCCAGGTTGTATGATCGCCTTAGTCACCCTTTGACACCTCGTGGGGCAAAGTCTGGATTGCTCATTTCTGTTTCTGACTGTAGATTAACGTTTGGGAAGAGGGGCCTTGGGAGAAGGGGCCTTAGTCACCCTTTGACACCTCGTGGGGAAAGAGAGGACCTTGGGAAGAGGGGCCTTAGTCACCCTTTGACACCTCGTGAAAAAAGGAGGACCTTGGGAAGAGGGGCCTTAGTCACCCTTTGACACCTCGTGGGGCAAGGTCTGGATTGCTCATTTCTGACTGTAGATTAACGTTTGGGAAGAGGGGCCTTAGTCACCCTTTGACACCTCGTGGGGAAAGGAGGACCTTGGGAAGAGGGGCCTTGGGAAGAGGGGCCTTAGTCACCCTTTGACACCTCGTGGGGGAAAGGACCTTGGGAAGAGGGGCCCCTTGGCCCTCCCTGGTCGCTAGTCACTGACGGGCGTACGCGTTCCTGACGAAGCGGGAGTCGGAGTTCTGTGTGAGAGCACGGGATTCGTTTGTGGGCATGCCACGTGTAGCGTCAGTGATGGGCATGGTGGCGGCGGAGGCGGAGCAGCAGCAGCAGGAGGAGGGCGTTTCTAGGGGGCGAGAAGAAACTGATGCAGACGAGCAGCAGGGCAAAGGCGATCTCCCTTGCAGGGGGATGATTCTCGATCGGTCGAAGTTTACGAAAACCCTCTGCGTGTGCGGACTACGTGTACCCAAGACGAAGTGCCACGTGGCGCAGAAGATCTTGTCAGGATTGCTCCTGGATTACCCTCGAGTCAGGCATGTTGTCTTGGACGGTGTGAACGCGGACACAAGGCTAATCTTACTTAAGGAAGACTTTACGGCCGAGTTAGGTTTAAATCAATTTCCAGAGAGAGTAATTAGTGAGTTAGAGGCAGCAGCAGCCATTGTTGACTCACAGTTGTTGCCGCAATTAGTACCCTATGATGTCGTTTTGGATTACGCTTATTGGCCAGTAGATCACGTGTTGAAGGAGTTACTGCCACGTGGATGCGAAATCCCGTCCTCCTTTGAAACTGTAGGTCATGTTGCGCATCTCAATCTTAGAGATGAGCTGCTACCATACAAGACATTGATTGCCGAGGTGCTCTTAGAGAAGAACTTCCCGCGAATCAGGACCGTCGTTAATAAGGTGGCGACGATCGAGAATCAGTTCCGTGTACCGGAGCTGGAAGTTTTGGCGGGAGATGACAATCTGGAAACGGAAGTCAGACAATATGGAGCGACTTTCAGACTCAATTTTGCTGACGTGTACTGGAATTCAAGATTAGAGTTCGAACATAAACGATTGGTTGGGTTATTTAAACCAGGAGAAGTTATCTGTGACATGTTTGCTGGTGTAGGTCCGTTTGCGATTCCCGCTGCTCAAGCTGGTTGCCTGGTACATGCGAACGATCTCAACCCTCGAAGCGCTCATTACTTGGCTATAAATGCCAAGCTGAACAAGGTTTCTCCCAGAATACGTGTCTACAACTTAGACGCCAGGGATTTCGTGCAATTGCTTCTCGTCAGCGATCCATCATCATCATCATCATCATCATCGCAATTGCAATCTGCAGAGTTGGTGGACACACCGCTGACCTCCGGGGCCGGTGAGGGGGAGAAAGGTGATATTGGAAAAGCAGCTGCAGGAGGGGAAAAAGGAGGAGGAGGAGGAGGAGGTGGAGGTGATTTTAGTAATGGTAATGGCAATTCTCAAGTACTGGAGGATGAAGTGGAAAAGGGGTTCGTGGATGTTCCTTATGGTTCTACAAGTGCGACCGAGGTGGAGGTGACTGTGGAAAAGTCCCCTGTAGCAGACAAGAGCAGCCGTGAAAGATCAGCAGCAGCCAACAAGGCCAACCGGGGAGCTGGACATGCAATTGGAAACACTGGGGCTCTTTCAAGTGCGATAGAAGTCCCAGCTATGGCTTCTTCTTCCTCTTTCTGCATATTGCCAGGTGATGTGGAGGTGATTGCGGCAGGAGGAGCCTCCTTCTCCTCCCCCGATGACCACCGAAGCCAAGGTGAAGCGGCGATCCAAGCCGAAGCTGGGATCAGAACCACCGAAGCTAGGATGGGAACCGAAGCTGCGATCGGAACTGAAGCTGGTATCGGAGTTGAAGCTGGGGCCGGAACCGAAGGCGGGACTGGGATGTCCCCCCACCTTTCGATTGTGAAACCTCTATCGTGCTGCTGCGCATCTGCAGATCGTGACGAGGCCACTTTGGAACATGCGGAAGGGAGTAGGGAAGCGGTCGGAGAAGAAGAAGGTGGAAACTTTTGCAGGGAACCTCTCGTCCCGATCCGGCGAAGTCCTGTGTCACCTGTGGAAAGGACTGCGGATTTTGATGTCGACTGGAAGGGCCAGAAGCGGAGTACGGACGGGAAGGATAAGGAGGCTATTATGGTGGTAAACGGCAGAAAAGGGGAGGAAAAAGACGAGGAAGAAAGTGGGGAAGTAGCAGGAGGAGGAGGAGGGAAGAACTTGGGAGAAGAGGAAGAAGAGGGAACCGTGACGGGTGCAAAGAAGGTGGCAGCGACAAAGAAGAGGAAAAGAAATGGGAGTGGTGGTACTGGTGGTGCTGGGCATAATCGTGGTGCTTATGATGGCGGAAACCTCAATGGCAATGCTGATGGCTCCAACGGTGTGGTTAGGTCGGAGTCGGGGAGGATAAGCAAGTCGGCAGTTGCGATCCGGACTGCGACTGAAAACCCGTGGAAGACGCATGATAGGGACCAGGACAATTACATGTTCCACCACGTAGTGATGAATCTGCCAGCATCGGCACCAGAATTCCTTGACGTCTTTCGAGGCCGATTCTCGCAAAGCAGATGGGCTGGGAGATTGCCACGTGTCCATTGTTATTGCTTCCTCCGGTCCAATGAAACGTACGCAGATGGCATAAAGCGCGCCGAGCGATCGCTAGGAGGGGTCATTGCGCAGCCCGAAGTCTGGCATGTCCGAGATGTGGCGCCAAACAAGATAATGTTATGCATTAGCTTTGATCTGCCTGCTGATGTGGCATTTGGCCGGGATACGGACCAGGACAGGGTAGGAGAAGTTTCTCCCAAGGCAGAAGAAGAGAGGCTGTTGTCTCCTCAGGAGGACGGAATAGGAAAGCAGGGAGGAGAAGAACGGAAGAAGATGGATGCAGGGAAAGACGATGAGGGAGCTGAAACGACGATTGGCTTGCCTCGTGATGAACTGAATGGACAACACTCGTAAACAATTTACCCAGCGTTAAAAAAAAATAAAAACCCACTACCTACCTACCTTTAATGACTGCCCTGGTTAGCAGGAGGGCCCCAATCTTCAGTAGGTTTGTTGGATGTACACGATCTGACATTCATCGTGAGTTTTTTGCTGTCTGGTGGAGTTGGCCCCCTTCTCTGGTGGTAATGGGTGGTGGCTTTGAAAACACCACTACCTACCTACCTACCTACCTAACTTTCAGAATGGCCCAAGTTAAACAAAAAAAGGGAAACGACTGCACTAGGTAGTTGCCAATTGCCAAGGCTCACACTTTTGTCAGGGCATACTCACACCAGGATTTTTCTGGATGAACTTTCAGAATGGCCCAAGTTAAAGAAAAAAAGGGAAACGACTGCACTAGGTAGTTGCCAAGGCACAAAAAAAAAAAAAAAAAAAAAAAAAAANAAAAAAAAAAAAAAAAAAAAAAAAAAAAAAAAAAAAAAAAAAAAAAAAAAAAAGGTAGTTGCCAAGGCTCACACTTTTGTCAGGGCATACTCACACCAGGATTTGTCTGGATGAATCTGACAGCAACTACGGCCAACACTGGATGAATCTGAGCGCAGTTGGGGTCAGAGCTGAGTCGAAAATTCATGGTGTGAGTATGCCCTCGATTGGTGCTTGGATGGACATTTTTTTTCTTTTTCTTTTTCTTTTTCCGATCGCCAGACATTGCTTTTCTCTATGCATCTGCTGGCCCCTTTTTTTTCTCTCTTTTCAAGTTCTTTGGGAGGTGGTGCTGGCTTAAACCACCAGTACATGGAGCCCTTTCTTCGTCGTCTGGGCGTGTGAACTGGTTGCAAGCTCATATGTCCCGACCAGGATGGTGCGTAGGCGTGCCATCTTTCTCAGTCTCTGGCAGTTGAAAGGTCTTGAGCCCCCGCCTTCCCCACCCCAGCCCCCCTGCCACAAGAAAAAGAAAGATCTTCAGCCAACACAAACTGAGTGGAAAAGATGATGTCAGAGGAGAGAAGAGAAGGGAGAAGGGGAGATGGAAGAGGAGAGGAGAGGAGAGGAGAGGAGGGGGGAGGGGAGAAGAGAACACGAGATAGAAGAGGATAGAAGAGGATAGAAGAGGAGAAGAGAGGAAAAGGGAAGAAAAGAGAGAAGAGGAGAGAGAAGAGGAGAAGGGAAGACAGAAGAGGTCAGGCTGTCCTTTTCTGTGAGCACGGAGTCTGAAGGGAAGGTGATGTTTGCAGATTAGACCTGTCTGACATTTGTAATTTTGTAGTGAATTAGACCTGTCTGTCTAGCACACCTTTTTTTTTTTTTTTTTCAGTCAGTCAGTCTAGCACACTTGCGCTGCCATTGACTCGGTAGCAAAGAGGAGAGAAAAAAAGACAAAAAAGAAAAAAAAAAAAGAGAGGAGAGCAGAGGAAGGAGATGAAGAAAGTGGGAGAAGCTAAGAGAGAGGGAAGAAGCCGAGGAAGTGGCAGGGATAAAACTGGAGAGAAGGGAAAGGAAAGAGGAGAGGAAATAAATGAGGAAAAAGGAGAGAGAGAGAGAGAGAGAGAGAGAGAGAGAGAGAGAGAGAGAGAGAGAGAGAGGAAGCAGTTAGTGCTCTGTTGACGTATGTAGAAAATCACGTGCGAGGACGAGAGACTTCACTGTGAGCTTCTAGGGGCAATTATGGGCCGACTCACTTTCGGACTTTCCTGTATGCATCGGACCACAATTATGTTACAAGTTCAGTTTCAGGAATTCAAATGTGACAACGACCAACGACCTTTGAGTGGCGAGTGGCGAGTGTGATGTTTCAGGTGCGTCTGATGATCAATGGGCTCGTGGTCACAAAAATAAAAACAAAAGCAAGAACGAAAGGACAATCAGCTCAAACCACCACCAGTACACGGCCCCATCCTTGCTGAAAGAGTTTGGTTGCCTGCTCCGAAAATTTCGTCCCTCGGGCCTGCCATACCACAAAGACTGCCTCCGCTAGTCAAAACAGAAAAAAAGTGCGCCGCCGCTGCTGGTTCGGCAAAGCTTGGCGTGCAGTGGAATGCACGCCTCCAGTCCCGGGTGTACCGCTGGTTCAAGTCGGTCTTCAATCCCTGTGCTACAGTAGAACTGGTCGTTACCATGGAAGTGAATGAAACTGCGATATGCCATCCACTGTGCCAGTGGAGAGAGGGCAATGGTCTCGTGGCGCCTGGCACCAAGTGTGAAAAACATGAAACCTATGGCGGGTATATCTTTCCATGATGGTGGAAGATACGTTCTCCATTTTGGCATTTTGCGCGCTTGGTGAGTGAGTGTGGCAAGGTCCTAATTCCTTCCCGCCAAAGGAAGAAAAGGATATGGATGACTCTGAAATTTCTGAATACATCCACTTGACTGTTTGAGTCGTGTGGGAACTCTTGTGTGCCCTTTTGTTTTAGATCGTGAAAAGAACGCAACAGGCCACAAAAGCTTCCACTCAGAGGGTATGCTTGAGATGATATCCGCTAATCTGTTCTCTGCAAACATTAGGTAGGTGAGGTAGGTGTTTGAGCTTCGATCTGATTTCGCCCGCTGAGGGCCAGTTTGCAGTATCTGTGTTCCACAGGTCCTTCAGCCGTCGCTTCTCGATCCACGACGATTCGAAAGCGCCCGAGACTTCCTCTGCTGACCATGGCGCCCCCTCCTGGGAAGAGATCCACCGGTTTTCAAAAATGTGCTATTGGAGGATTTCGTCCAGCAACTCTGGTTTCTTCTGCTGTTCGGGGAACACCTTGGCCCAGCCTACTAGGATATCCGCCCAGATACGAGATTTCAGTTTCCTTTTAACAAAGGCTTTCGTGAGTAAACAGACCTCTACATCCTCGACTCTAGCCGGTTCCCAATCCTTCGCGAGGATGTATAAAGCTAAATCCACCCAGGGATAACTTGAAATATCCAACCGTAGCCTGATCGGCCACCTGGCAAGAAGCGCTGTGATCTGCTTTTCAGGATCCAATACTCCAAGGCCACCGTTAACTTTTTCCCCGACCACTTTTTCCCACGCAACTTTCGCAAGTAAGATGACTCAGGTTCTCATCGAATACTCCTTTCCATAAGTACCTGCAAGCTGCCTTGATAGTTCTTTGGTAAGACTCCTTTTCCAAAGGCCGTAAAGACCCGGGGAACCAGACATTTGCAAAAAACAACACTGTTGAGGATTAAGGCGCTTCTCTGTTGTTCTCTGATGTTCCCCGATTATATTTTGTACATGGGACGCTGGACCCGTTTTCCAGCAGGTGATGCTCCCCACCAATAGATGGAGTCTCTCCCAGGGTGGTAGTGGGTGTCTGCTCTTATCAGCACCACTAGCACCAGCGGGGGTGTTCTCAAAAAAAAAAAGAAAAAAAAAGGGCGCGTCCTTGGATTGACACTCAAAAAAAAAAAATTCTCTCTAATTTAGGTGGCATCTTTGCTTCCGTAAGGACACTTGCTTTCTTCTTTATGTTACTCATGCCAACTTGCACTCCTGAGAATCTCTCACTTTCTTGTTACAGTACAGGTAAACAGTTCAAACCCCAGTCCACACATATTTGGTTGTCACTGTGTGTGATGGCCACTGATTTGGGCCAATTAACCAGAGCCTCAAAGAACAGTGAATACACATCCAGACATTTCTTATGGGCTCCAAGAGAGGCTCTCGAGTTAGTGGATAAAGCAAATCGATCATCGGTCATTGCTGGGGCCTGACATTGCCTGCCTGTACCTAAATCGGAGACCCTCGATATCCGGATTTTTTCTAATGGTACAGAGAAATACCTCCATTTGGATGAGACGAACAGCAAAGGTGCCAACGGGCAACCTTGCTTGAGAGACCTTGAGAGGAGGAAAGGGGCGGAGATCTCCCCATTAACCATAGCCCTACCTACTCCCCTAGTGTAGAGCGCGCTGAAAACCACTTGCAAAAGGTATCCCCAAAGCCTGCCAGTGAAAGAGTCTTTAATACAGATTCTCAATTAACTCTATCGTAGGCCTTTTCTAGATCAAGGAGCAAAGCCACCATCTGGGGTTGGTCTTCATTCCTTACTTCCAAAGCTTTAATTGTGAGCATAATATTGTTTAAAATGTTTCTGTTCTTCATGAAGCTGGCCTGTTCAAACCCAATTAGGCCCGGAAGGTGTGGAGTCTGATTGCTCAAGCCTTAGCTAGGATCTTATAGGAGGTGTTCAAAAGAGAGATGATAGGTCTCCAGTTTTTTTGTTTTTTTTTTGAAAGTACCGGGGCCATTACCCGGTTTCGGCTTGAGAGTACAGTTTTGTTATGGTTCTCTTATCTCCTTTCTTGTACAAGAGGGATACTATTCCGAATCTGGATTCCTCCCCTAGACCGAGACCAGTTCCGGTAAGCCATTATAGACCGAGACCAGTTCCAGACCTAGCACGTCCCAGTATGTAAGGTAGTACTCCACTGGTAGCCCATCACTACCTGGGCATTTGCCTTTTGGCATGATGCCGGCTGCTGTCCTTAAGTCCTCCGAAGTAGCTGATCTATCGATGTCCAATCTTGCATGGGATGGGAGGATTGAATGTTGCCCATAGCTCCTCTTGAAGTAACTCATGGGACTGCACGCTCAGCTCCGGACGACGGGATTGAAAAATGTCTTCGAAATAGATTCTAGCGTAGTCCAGGACATGTTGGGTATCTTTGGCCATTGGTTCAAAATCATTGAAAGGGTGGTTAAGCTCCACAATAAGAGAATTACTCTTCCTACGTCGAACCGTTTTCAACTTCTGGCTTGTGTGTTTTTTTCCCTATTTTTCTCATTGTTTTCTAGTACTTTCTACCATACTTATGGCACATCATATGCGCGCTGCAGGCGCACGTGATTCGGCACACCCCAAAAAATACAGGTCGGAAAGAAAATGGGGAAGGGCGGGAGTGGTAGAGTGGCCGGTCCTCACTGGAGGAGCGGGGCATGCCATTGTTGTTGAGGCAGCAGCGGCTGTGGTGTTTCATGCTTCTATTGCCGATCCGCCAGTGCCTAGTGCATGTTGATCCACCAGTGCAACTATCGCTATCGCTGTGCATGGGACATGTGAAGGGAGTGCAGGGGGTGCCTCACATTGGATGCCATCACCATGACACCACAGGGAGAGAGAGAGGGGGGGGGGGGGGGG